AATAGGTGGTAATCCACTAGGAATGTCTTCTTGAAATAGCTCTTCGAATTCCTGCAATAAAGATGAAATGGAAGAAGGCAAGCCATCTGGAATGTTAGTCAAAAGAATGATTTACTTGTACCTAAGTACAATTAGAGCTTTGTAGGATAACAAATGTTTCCTAATGTCTTTCCCTCCAACATATATGTTCATCTTCGTTGGTTCCTCCTCCTTAATGGATTTGGAAACTTCAATGCTCTTCTTCAAAGTGTCTTGATCTTCAGATACTCTATTTAGTGAAAGTGGAGTCAATATTACTTTCTTTTCATTGTGAAAGAAAGAGTATCGATTTGTAAAACCATCATGGACAACCCTCTTATCAAATTTCCAAGGCCTCCCTAGGAGTACATGACACGCATTCATTGGAACAACATCACAAAGAACTTCGTCTTGGTATTTTCCAATTGAAAATGAAATGGTTACTTGTTTGGTGACCTTGACTTCTCCCCCATCATTTAGCCATTGTAACTTGTATGGTGTGGGATGTTTAGTCATCTTGAGTCCGAGTTTGGCCACCATTAAAGTGCTTGCAGCATTTGTACAACTTATTCCATCGATAATCATGAAACAAACTTTATTGTTTACATGACAACGAGTGTGAAAACTATTCTCTCTTTGATTATCCTACATGGATTGAATATTTAAAGCGTTTTTCACTACCAAAACTTGTCCTGAAACGTGAGACATGGTTAGTAAATAAAACAAAATAAACCTTACCATCACACTCTCAAAGCCTCACAATCTTCACTCCAAAGAAAATTAAGAGATCACTCCACTCAACACTCGTGTTTACTCTTGGAAATATGATTTGTCTTTTAACAATTCCCCTTCTGATCTCACTCACTCAATAAGCCTTTTTCCACTCTATCTCTCTTGTTAGGTCCTTTAAAGAACTAACTCCATATTAGAATAAGTTATTTCTCTTCTTATGTATGTCGGTTGTAATATAGGTTATGGTAGGAAAGGAAAAAAAGAAATGGAAAGGTAAAAGAAATGATTAAAGGAAATGAAAAGAAGGAAAAGGTTTAAGACAATGAAATAAAAGAAAAAAAATGAATAGGTGACTTACAACTCAAGAACAACACTTACTGCACCCTTTCAAAAGACACAATAAGGTTATCTTCTTCAGTGTAAATCTGTCTCCTTGATTGAATTGTAATGATAGAGCATTTTTCCTTGGCTTTGCCTTTCTCTTTTGTTTGAAATTCTTTTTTTCTTCCTTTTTCTGATCTTTCCTTTTATTTTACACTCCTTTGTTTGTTGTAGGAGTTTTGATTTCCTTTTTGACTTCTTTTTCTTTGTTTTTGTTGTTGCGCCCCAATGACACTTTTGTTGTCAATCCAGCTATGCTCTAAATACCGCTTGATGTAAGGTAATCTACACTCTTTAATGAAAGTGAATAGAAGCCTTATTGTTGTCCCAATCAAGGAATGAAAAGTAATAATGCCCTTGAATTATAAGTATGGTTGCAACACAGATAATAAGGAAATAGTATTAGTAATGGTATAAGAAATGGATAAGTAAATAAGTAATGAAATAAAATAAGAAAAGAGATGGCTGCGGAATTATATATGATCATGTTGGTGGCCTTCAATGGTAGATGGTTGATGGTGTTGATGTTGAAAGGATGATGGAGATGATAATGTATCTCAAACACGCTAAAGAAGAAGTTATGCTAGAGAGCACAACCCGGTCTTCACAAACTTGCTTGAGGGATGGTAATGGTGTCTTCAACCCACTAGATATAAAATCTATGAATTTAAGAATCAAGGTAAAAGGAATGACGCCACAAGTATAAGAAATACACTTGTTTAATCGATAAAGTTCTTAAAGAACTTTGAAGAGAGATTTAACTCACAAGAAGTTGTTTATATTATGAGATGAGATGAGTAAAAATGAAAGCAAGTCTCTCAATTTATAGGAAATGAGAGGGCTTGTTCGAATAGACATCTTATGTTTTAGCTAGGTACATGACTCTAATGAAAGTACATAATTAATTAAGTGAATGAATATGTCCATAGGCTTGGTGATGGTTCTTGTAATCCTTCATAAAAGAGCATGATGTTTCGGTCATGCATGAATCAATCTCTCCTTGGGCGAATGGTGATGTGATTGTTCATCTTGGCGCCAAAGTCATCATGTACAAGGTATGTGTGGGCTGGCTGAATAGGTATGGTGTTTGTCTCATGTCGTTTCATAATTTAAGCCTCCAATGGATGTAATCTCTTCACCAACGTGCACCTTGATGAAAGGGCATCTTCATGAACAACAACATTCATGAAAGGTCACAATTGTTGGAAGGTAACCATTCATGTTTGAGCTAGTTATAGGGAGAATGAGCTGGCCATAGGTGAGTTGTAACATGATAAACATTATGGCAGCTCCTTATGGAAAGGTACCTCTTGGAATGGCAACTATTCGCGAAAAGGTGCGATTTCACAAAATTTGACTTAGGACATATTTGAAGTGTCCTGAGTGGTGATGATGATGGTGCAGCTCCCCAGCTGAATTGAAGTCATATTGTAGCTCAAATCTTCAACTCAATCCAGCTATGAGCTCAATGGTCTCCGAACAACTTTACAATTTTTCACCAAATGTTCCTTATTCTCTCCTAAACGTCCCCATATAAGTTTCCTTGCTGTTGCTTTCACCATTTTTCTCCACAAAAGCTCCCAAGTTGTGGTCGAATATATCTACACTCAAAACATAAATAATAAGTTAAGTACATGAACTATATTAATGTGTATATGATAAAGATGTGTACTATAGGTTATTTAATAATCAACATGTAATATATTAAAAAACCTATTATCTAATGGTTCTTTCTCATTAAAAGATTTAGAAGCATGAATGAACTTATGAGAAAATAATTCCCTGAATTGTTTTATCTTTGCACGAGTGATAGGTCCTTTAGGCATGACTTCATGATCCATTAGAGTGGTTAAGATCACATCAAAATGTTACAAAAGTCACTCGATTATTCATATGTTCCAAACTTGTCTTTTTACGTTAAAAATTGACAACGGTCTAAACTGAACGTTAACCTGCTGACTATGATATGATAAAATATGATCCGAAAATCTCAAGCGACTATCATATCTCAGTCAACAGATTAATGTCCAACTCAAATTGTCATCAATTCTCAACAAAAATGACTAATTTGAAACATATGAATAGTTAGATAACCATTTTGTAACTTTTAATAGTAGATGGACTCAACAAAGCAACACCCTATAATCGGGGATCATTTTGAAACTTTTAATAGTCAAGAGACTCAATAAAGTAGTGCCCAATAGTCAGGGACACTTTTTGTACTTTACCCTACTTTTTTATGAGTTAAATTGAGTTATTAACTTCCATGACTTCTGTAAACCGAAAGGTGATGCAAGTTGAAGATGCATTAATTAATAAGATCACAACCAGCTATCAACTTCCCTTTCCTTCAACTGCAAATGTTGTCTAATTAATTAAAAATATATCCAACTTGATTTTGATTATTATAGCTCATCTCTATATTTTTATTATTATTGTTATGTTCTTTAATTTCTGTTTACAAGAATTAATAATAAACTTTTTTTGATTTTTTTATTAATTAATTCAATAAAACAAATTATTGAGTTAAAGTTACAAATTAATCGATGTAAATTGAAAACTTATTAATATATTCTTTTTATGATAATTAATATTTATTAATTGTCACGTCATGGAAGTTAAGGAAAATATATAATTATATTAATTTTATTAATTGTTATGTCATTATTTCTGTTAAATATTAACGACAAATGACTTAATTGAATATAATTAAATAATTATGTGGTTTTATTGACAAAATTAAAAAATAGATGGTAAAAGTAAAAAGAGCTAAATAATTAAGTGATAAATGGTATATATTACTCTTAAATAATTTACCTTTAAATTTTTAACTAATTTATAATTATATGTTGAGTATTTTATAATGTTAATATTTTATAAATTAATTTATCGGTGATCATCGTTAGTTGTGCTCATCGCTACTCATCGAGTGTAGAAGAATCCCTTATTAATATTATCATTCTACTAAAAATTATTTTTAAATTATTTAAATATACCTTTTAGATTATTTTCATTTATAAAAAAATCTAGTTTAATCAACATCATTGAATACAACTAACAATTTATATGTATTGTTGTATTATATATATTATATGGTGAACTACACTAATCATCCCTAAATTTTAGGAAAACATGTATTTTAGCTACTAAACATTTACAACTTGCATTGAAATTGTTAAAAATTTACTTCATTTTAATTATGATCACTGCTATTAATTAATTACTATTGATATGACATACTCACATAACATTTTCCTTAATAAATTAATACCTTTCGATAAGTAATCATAATAAAAACAAATTAAAAGTTTGATGATTTTTTTAATAGTATGAGGTGATTATAAGATAGTATATATTCATAATCTTTTAAACTATTAGCAACACACACCTTGCAGATCAACTGCTCGAACCTATGATCTCTAGGAAGAATGATAATTTTTTTAACTACTAAGGTCACTTGATGACTTTAGTATAAGTTTTAAAAGTACAATAACTAAAATATAAGCTTCTTAAAGTTCAAGAACTATTATGTGTTTTCCCCTTAATTTATAAAAAGGACAAATTACCTTATTTGGTCATCCACATTTTAATTAGTTTCTATTTTGGTCACTTAATTATAATGTTTTTCAAAATCATATCTAACGTTATATTTATATTTTATTTTTTTCATCTAATGTTAAACAATTAACAATAATGTTGATATGTTATCATAAGATAATTTCATATCAACATTGAAAAGTAATAAAAATGATATCACATTAGTATCATCATTGATTTTTAACGATGAGTGATGTATGCATAGGGATGAGCATGAGACCCGAACCCGACGAGTTTTGAAAATTTTCGGGTTCAGATCGGGTAGGGTTTGGTTTTTTTTAAAGGTGATGTTTGAGTCGGGTCAGATTTGGGTAACCTAACCCGATCTGATCCAAACAAATATAATTTTACCTTTTATATTTAAGGTTAATCACAATAATACCCCTTTATTTATTATTTTTTCAATTAAATCCCTATTTTTATTGAATAAAAATAATATTTTTTATTATTCCAAGTCGGGTCGGATGGAGGGTGAATATTTTTCGGGTAAGATCGGGTCGAGTGGAGTGTGTAAATTTTTTGTATCTGGTAGGGTTGGTTGAAACCCGACCCAAACGTGACCCGTGCCCATCCCTATGTATACAAAACTAAAAGATAACATTAAGTATGAGTTTTAAAAAATAATAGTCGGATGACGAAAATAAAAACTAGGTAATATATGTGTGACCAAATAGATAGTTTACCCCCAAAGGGAAAGAAATCGACAACTCAAAAGTGTGTACAAAGACTAAAAGGTCAAACAGTATAATTAAACCCGTGACTATTACCACAGTCTCCACCAACACCTGGCTGTAAAAACCGCGTCGAAAGAAGAATATCAATGCACGTGCCATTATTTTGTTGGCCAAAATAGTCAAAAGTCAAAACAAATGGTTAATGATTGAAGATGACCCAAGTGAGGCTGAGAGTTCATTCACGCACAAAAACTTGAGAGAAATTAAAAAAAAACGATTTGAAACTTTTGATTGACTTTGGGTTTTTTCTTTGTTTAACTCTTCCCCCTTTCTCTTCTGCAACTCCCCGATTCTCTGAATCCCTTTCTGTTAATCATCTGTCTTTGAAAACCAAAAAGATCTCTTTTTTGTGTCTGTTTTCCAAGGATTTCTTCAAAAAGAAGTCAGGTGTTTTCAGAATCGAGATCCATTTCATTTTTCATTACTCTCTCTGTCTATGGTTCTGTAGATAAAGTCGACTTAGAGGGTATTTTTTGGTCCCTCGAAGTTTGATTTTTTAGACTTTGGATTGAAGGGGTTTTATGTTTTTAAAGAACCTCCTTAATTAATCCATTTTTTTCTGGGTTTTTAAACCTGTTCTTAAGTATTATCAAGAAACAGGTTGGTTTGATTTTTATTTAATCTATTTTTGTGTGTTTATTTTAATATATGACAGCTACTATGGATCACTATGACTGTAGTAGTGCATTTCAACCGGATTTCTACGGTGGAGAATTGATGGAAGCAGTTGAACCTTTTATGAAAACTGTTTCTTCTTCAACTTCTTCCCCTTCTACTCCTTCGTCTTCTTCGTTTTACACACCATTTTCTGTTCTCCAAGAACCGGCTCAACTCTGTTCAACAACTCCCCAGATTCACTTCCAAAACATCCAATCTAGCTACTTTTACCAGAATTCCCAACCCACCATGAACCATGACCATAGAGTCAGGTTTCTTAGGCCCAAACCGATCCCGATGAAACAGATGTGTTCGCCGCCAAAACCCACTAAGCTTTACCGAGGTGTTAGGCAACGCCACTGGGGAAAATGGGTCGCCGAGTTCCGGCTACCTAAGAACCGGACACGTCTCTGGTTAGGCACTTTCGAAACAGCCGAGGAAGCAGCCTTGGCTTACGACAAAGCTGCCTATAAACTACGAGGTGACTCGGCGAGACTCAATTTCCCCAACCTTCGCCACCACGGCTCCCACATCGGCGGCGAGCTTGGTGATTACAAGCCCTTGCAGTCATCCGTCGATGCTAAGCTCGAAGCCATTTGTGAGAGCTTGGAACAAGACCGAAAGCAAGGGAAGAACAAGAAGAGATCATCGGACAAAACCAAGAGCAGCAAGGTTGAAGAACAGACAGTGAAGCTGGAGAACTCGTCTTCATCTTTGTCTCCGGTTCCGTCGGAGAATGAGGTGGCGGCGTATTCTTCACCTTTATCGGATCTTACGTTCTCGGGTTTGAACGAACAGTTGTGGTCTGAAATTGGTTCATGTTCGGAAATTGTCATGTTGTCGAAATTCCCTTCGTATGAGATTGATTGGGATTCTATTTTAGAAGCCTAAAGTTTCTTTCTTTCTTCTTTCTTTTTTTAGTATTTGTAGTTCTGTAAGCTTACTGCAATGGAGTTTTTGGCAGTTGCAGTAGCGGTTTAGGGTTGTTAGTTTGTAAGAAATTGTGACACTCTTCATGGTGATCAGCTCGTGTTTTGAAGTGCTGAACCAAGGGAGAGATTTGTTAGTGTCTATGTGGATTGCTCTTGTGATTGAATCTTTTAATCTGATTTAATGATATTTTAATTTTAGGGCTGAATATATAAATGGTTTATATGATATGGAATTGTTGTGTATCAACTATTAAATATATATTTTAAAATCAAGTATGTTTTTGTTAAAAGATCAATTATCGTTTTAGTTAGATGTTAAATTATTAATTGTAATAAAATTTGATCTTAAAATTTTAAATAATTATATAGTTTAAATAATTTTGAAATTAGATTTGTTTATATTTTAATTAATATATTAACATTCAATTCAAATAATCGTTAATTTTTTAATAAAAAATAACGAGTTTAGAATATATAAAAATTTATAAAATTATTTTATAATTTTTAATAGTTTCACTTAATCAAATAACCTATTAAGAGATAATATTATAATTTTTAATTATAGAAGAATCAATAAATATTATCTTACAATGAAAAAATAATTTATGTATTTTACTCTTTATTATTACATTGATTTTAGTATTGGTTTACAGCTTTGAACCATAATTTTTAGCAATATGGATGAAGATGGTTGTAGCTGTATTTTTATATATGTAGGACTGAAAATTGACGTTAGAACCACCAAAAGATCTATATCATCCTTTGAAGCAAAGTTTCCTTTTGTGGTTTCCAAACTTCTCAGTACTTCCTGTTTTTTTCATATAGGTTTAAGGTGTATCATTTCTTTCCTAAAATATATCATTTGTATCGAATTATTCCTTAAAATTATTTTTTGAAATATTTTATCCGTTAAAGTTTAAATCGTTATCGTCTTAATTTGTTAACTCCTTTTAAAAATATGTGGTTAAATTACATATTTAATCACTCAACTATTCATTTGGTTCTATTTTGGTCAATCAACTATTTTTGTTTTCAAAATCATCACTAAACTTAAGTTTTTGTTTGGTTTTGTCACTCAATTTGATTAGATTTATTTTTAAAAATTTACAATATATAAAAATTCATTTATATCACATTTTTTATTCGACATATAAATTTAATGTATAATAATAAATAATATTAAAATGTAAATAATAAACGATAGTCGAAAACAGATTAAAATCACAATTAATGCATATCTAAGCATTTATTCAAATAACAATTGATATCCCAGTCAAATCTGATTTCCAGTTACATGATACATCACAGTTCACACTAAACAAGTGTAATGGGGAAGCAAGATCTTAAACCAACATCAAATAGCCAAAAACAAACCCTAAGATCTTAAAATGGAAGTACTACATTTCCCATCACATAACCCACATTAGACAAATCAATCGTTTGACCAGATCAATCAAAAAAGTCAAAGCTTCGAGCTTTAGATGGCATCAAAATACAGTGGAGCATATAAACAAGAACAAACCTGGTTTAGACAGTGCTAGTTAGAGACAGAAATGGAAAAATGGCTAAACCCCAAAGTGAAACCACATTGACAAAGCTGGGTGCAGCATCATCCAGGGAAGAAAAGGAAAGGATTCTTTGTAGGGTTTCAACGCTTTTTTTGTTTCCCTTCCTGGATTCGGGTTTTGGGACTCTATAATATTTCTTTTATTAAAATCCTAAGTACAAACAATATGTGATATAAATAAATTTATTATTTATTATTATACATTAAATTTATAAATAATGTAAAAAATATGTGATATAAATAAATTATTATATATTGTAAATTTAAAAAATAAATATAATCAAATTGGATGACCAAAACAAAACAAACACTTAAGTTTAGTGAAGATTTTGAGAACAAAAATAGTTCACTGACCAAAATAGAACCGCATGAATAGTAGAATGACTAAAATACTTTAGGGGGAAACTTGGTACAAATGGTATAGTTTAGGGGGCACTGGTACATTTAAGCCTAGGTTTAATTAGAAAATTAATGTCTAAATTATATTGCTTTTTTTCAAACTAATACTTAATTTTTTTATCCATCCAAGTGTCTAACGTTACAAAAGTTATCACTTTAGATATTTGGTCCGTAACAACCGTTAAAAAATTCCGGTTTTTCGACACGTATCACATTTATAGAATTTTTTGTTTTAAATAAAAACTTAAAAAATATTTTTTTTGAAAAAAAAACCAAAATAATCTTAAATATGTAAAAACAAAAGTAAAAAAAAAACCTTAATTTCAATCCCTAAGCCCACGTCGGTTACTTCCCTCATCATTGTTGTCGTCGATCAAACCTCCACCCAACCACACCTCCATCGACGATCAGTTACCTGATGACTAGCCACCATAATAACAATCGACGAACCCTAAATTGTAAAACCCTAAATCATGAATAACTACCTCGATGAATCTTAAATCAATACACATGACAACTTTGGCGGCCATATCAATGACAAGGTTGATGATAGTTGACTAAGGCGATGTCAAGGATGGTCTCGGTGTTGACGGGCGGGGCCAACAAAAGAGGTAAGATTAACGTTAGGATTTGAGGTTTGAGATTTTCAAGGATTCGTAGTTTTTTTTTTGTAATTTTAGAAAAATTAGAATTTTTTAAATATAATACTATTTTTTATTTTTTTAAAATATTTTTTTAAAATTATCAAAAATGTGACATGTGTCACTTAACGTGCCTTTTTAACATTCATTACGGTCGGGATACCTAAATTAGTAACGTTTGTAACGTTAGACACCTAAAAGAATAAAAAAAAAACGTTCAGCACCACTTTGAAAACGATATAGTTTGAGTACTTATTTTCTAGTAAAACCTTATATATATATATATATATATATATATATATGAAATTTAATTCCCCTATTTTTATTTTTAAGAATTTTAATTTTCCCTATTTTGGAAATTAAAAAAAATATAAATATTGTTATTTTATAGGATAAATCATATTATCTCCACTATCACTTTTGTTTCGTTTGATCATCCAACTATTTTTTAAACTATGTCTAACGTTACATTTTGGTCACCCAACATTGAAAATATTAATAGAATTGTTGATGTAATATTTTAATTTTTTCAATGATGATGTGATATTATCTTATAGTGACAACCGACATGCAAACATCACTGTTAATTTTTAATAGTGAGTGATTATAATGAAACCAAAATTAAATGTTATATATGATTGTAAAAAAATAGTTGGATGAGTTAAATGAAACAAAAGGGATAGTTAAGATACTAAAACTTTATTTCTAGTATTAATCGGATGCAACATTAAAATAAATAAATTTTACTCACCTAAATACATTTACTATTCGTTTCTAGAGTTAATCGGAGTTCTTGTGACGCGGGTCAATTATTTCCTAATGTTACTGGTGATGGCCCTTAATGTTCCCTGAGCAGAGGATTGAACTATAGGATCAGGTTTATGAAATTGTTTGGCCTTTAATAAATGAGATGATCCTCCAAGTCCTCGTGGCGCTTTTGGAATGGAAATAGATGCATCGAGTTTAAAAATGCATTGGGCGAGGAGAAGGGTAGAGGTGGTTATCCTTTTAAAAAATTTAAATTTCTATTCAAAAAACGAGGTTATCATCTTTACAAGATAAGTATGACACCTTTCAATGTTATAAGAAAGATATTCGATTACATTAATCACTCAAATTTAACTCCTAAATGGTATGTAATACCTCACTACATAATAATAAACTTAGTTTAATCCTAGAATCGATTAAACTTTAGTTTTTATATTAAGAGATGTAACACACTCAACTTAATCGAATATTAAATCAAATGTCACATTAATTTATCGAAATTAAAAAAAAATTGAATTAGAATACAATCAGATAATCGAACACTCGAACATTAATTTAGGGACTAAATTAACAACAATATCCAATATGAAGATTCTACAGCATGTAAAATCATTAAAAACAATTTAAACAACAAATATCCCAGGGATGATGGGTTTAATCATATAAAAATGCTATAAAGGAGCCTTTGTTTCGCCGAAAAAATATTATCAAGGGAAATAATGTTTTCTGAAATTGTATATCTACGCTTCGTTTACGAAAAATATTATTACTAGAAAATATTATTTTCTCAATAGTAGATTTTTTTGTTAAAATGATGGTAATGTCATTATCTCTAAATTCTTAGGTATTAGACAATTGAATTCTTTTTATAATGATCTTTCTCGATTCTTTTTATAATGATCTTTCTCGATTCTTTTTATAATGAATTCTTTTTATAATGATCATTCTCGATTCTTTTTTTTTATTTTACTCAAAATTATAAATATAATAATATACAAATAGTTTAATTTAATTCAATATTAATAAATTTAAGTATTTAAAATTATTTTATGTTTTTAATATTCAATATATTAATTATTTATAATTTATAAGGTGAAAAAATATTATTGTAGAAATGTAATTATTTAAAATAATGTCTAACTTTAAGTTATTAAAACGTAGATATTATAAATTGAAAAATAATATATTTGTCCAGACAATACCATAATAATTTTTTCATATTAATTTTATTTTATATAAATAAATAAATATGATATTTATGAAAATTGTTCAATGAATCTTATATTCCTATAACCAAACACTGTAATTTTACATAGGGATGGGTCAGGGCGAGGTGAGCCCCTTTTTTTGCCACCCTAACCCCAACCCAAAGATATATTCCCTAAACCTGACCTCGACCGGTAAATATTAGATTTTCTTTCGCCCTGAATCCTATCCCAAATTTTAGATTTAAACCCCGACTCGATCCTATTCAAATATATTAATATTTAAAAATAATTAAAATAATATATTTATAATAATATTTTATATTTTTAATACAACAACAACAACAAAATCCTATTCACATATGCAATGTGGTAAGAGGGAGGTAGGGTAGTAGGCTGCCCCCAACGCCAGGTTGAGAGCAATTTTCGTGGAAGTCTTCCGACAGTCAGGAAATTAAAAATAAAGCTAAAATGTAATGCATGTATAAATAAATAAATACATCGTTGAACAGTCTTCATAAGCGCGTATGTAATGGGATGTAATCCCTGCAAATAAATCTCTGCGTAAA